GTGGCCCAGAATTCCAGGAGGTCCCACCAACAGGAGACTTCGCAGTGTGGAGGCCGAGCTTCGAGCTTTCCCATCTCATCTCTGGCAGGAGTCACCCACGCAAGGCACCCAGGGCCCTCCACCAGCAAGCCTGCCAAGGCTTGTCCCCCCGCTTTGGAACAGCTTCAAGAAAGGTCACGTTTGCTATTCTCAAGCCGCCCACCCGCCCTGCCATCCCTGAGGCATGCTTTCTCCCACATCCCCAAATGCCAGGCGGTGAGCTCAGGGCACCAGCCTCCAGGAAGCTGAGAAGGGGGCGACTCTTGCTGGCACCCTCAGCACAGAGCTGTTCGCACACGACAGTGAGCACAAGGGCATTCCCTCCTCCGCCGTTCAAAGGAAATTTATGAGAAATATGGCAAAAAGAGAAGGCTGCTCAAAAGGGTCCCACGCCGACCTGACTTTGTGTCCAGAAGCCCTATTTGGCATGAAGAGCTTCTGCAGAGACCCATTTAACCTGCCAGGGGCTTCCGAACACCTGAGCAGGTCTGTTTGAGCATGAGCTCTACACACGCACATGTGTCGGTGTCACACTGAGAGCAAACACCCACGCTCATCTCCAACTCCTGGGTCGCACATGAGGACAAAGCACAATTCCAAGCTCAGGGCTCAGCCTCCACGTCAGATTATGGTGTGAAAGGCCAAGTGTTCCTGTGCTGAGAGCACCCGGATGTCTGAGGCAAAAAGGCACTCACAGGGGGGACTAAAGGCCTCCGGGAAGGTGGCTCAGCGACAGGGACAGCAGTTTCTCCTCTCCAGAAAGCCTCCAGCCATCTCTATCCTGCTGAATGACCCACTTCTCCAAGGCCAACTCCCTCCTAGCCTCCACTGCCCCAAGGGTTTCCACCAAAGGCCCCCTGAGCTGTGATTACAGAGTCCCTAGCACACACCTGTAGGGGTACTTAGGGGACCAGGGCAGCAGGTGGACTGCATGACTGACTGCCGCTGAACAGCTACAGGTGACAGCCTAATGGATGTTTTTAAAAGATGTTTTTACTTTTGTAGGTATATACTTATTTTAATAGAAAAAAATGCATGACTAGCACCTGTGATTTCATAGATGTAACTGCTTACAACACGCATGTCTAAGTTTAAAAAATTGATTTCAACCTCATTATCTTGTATTTAACTTTTATTTTTTTGGAGACAGGGTCTCACTGTGTTGCCTAGGCTGGCTTCAAACTCCTGAGCTCAAGTGACTTCTGGTCTCAGTTTCCAGAGAGGCACACACCACAGTGCCTGGCCAACTGTTTTTTCTCTCAGGACTGGGGACCCAACCCTGGGCCTCAGGCTTGCTAGGCTAGCGCACCACCACTAAGCTACATCCTCAGCCCCTGTTTTAAAATTTTATTTTGAGACAAAGTTTTGCTAAGTTGTCCAGGCTGGTTTCAAATTTGCAATCTATGGCCTCACCTTCCCAAGTAGCTGCGGTTACAGGCGGACCCCATGATTTTCTTTTTATACTTACATGACCGTCCTCAAACACTTGTCCTCCCTGGCCACAAACCATAAAAGGCACCAATGTTGTTCAAAACTAATTTTGAAGCCCTTCTTGGCTTTTCTTCCTCTGCCATGCCTCCAACATCAGTAAAACACACCAGCTTTTCTGCCAAAATACTGCTGGACTCTGAGACTTCCAACCATTCCTGCTACCAGCTGGCCAAGCCACTGTCCTATCACACCTAGATTATTCTAGTAGCCACTTGGCAGGTACCAGGTTTCCATTCTTGCCACTAAAAAGAGGGTTTTTCTCTGATCATAAATCACACCACATTAGGCCCCTACCACCCAGAAGCTTCATATCATGCTTAGGATGGAATCCAAAGGCTACTCCAGCACCCACAGACCTGAAAGGGCCCAGCTTCCCTGGATGGTACTGACCCAACGTGATCCTTTCTAGCCACACTGGCCTTCTTGGGAGTCCTGAAAAAGGGCAGGCCTTTGTACCTCCAACTCCTTTCCCATGTCCCCCACTTCATCTCATCAAAAACTGACATGTCATGCCCTGCCAAAAATGGCCCTCCACCCTTGTGTGTGCCTCACAACACACCTGCGGTTGGATCAGAGACACTGTGCCGTCACGATCATCTGTGTGGGCTCAGGGCTCACTGCCTGTCTCCACACATAAGCTTCACCACAGCAATGTTCCTGTACCTGCAGGCAACTACCACATGGTGAGTGCTCAGTGACACTGGAGGGGACAAACGACATTCAAAAGCAGGATTAAAGCTGGAAGTTCATGGCTAGAGTGTGACCGTGCCAGGCTAGGGGAATAATGTGAGTTCATTTAACACCAGCAATATTCCCAGGAACCTTCTTGGTTTGGAGAAACTGAGGCTCAGGGATAAGTGACTTGCCCAAGCCCACTCTGTTTTATCAGGCTGAAAGGGCTGGGTTTTTTTGGGGGGGAGGTTGTTTTTTTTGGTTTTTTGGTACCAGGGATTGAACCCAGGGGCGTTCAACCACCAAATCCCAGCCCTTTTTTATATTTTATTTAGAGACAGGGTCTCACTGAATTGCTTAAGGCCTCACCAAGTTGCTGAGGCTGGCTTTGAACTTGAGATTCTCCTGCCTCAGCCTCTCAAGTTGCTGGGATTACAGGGGTGCACCACTGTGCATGGCTGAGGGCTGGATTCTTTAGAACATATCAAGCTTTCTCTGAAAGTCTTTCTTCAAAAAGATGTGTTAAGGTATCAATCCACCTAGGGAGGAGGTGAAACTCTTCAGGATGATGTTCCGCTCTGCCAACATCAGGGTACAGCCTGGCAAGCTCCAAATCAGCAAACCCCCACCCTTGCCTGCAATCCCACTGCCCCAGTCACTTGAGATGGCTGCACTGCTCAACACAGACTGTGGTACCCATTCTAGCCTGGGAAAGGCTTTCCAGACACCTGATGCATACATATTTAAACACATGTCCCCCTGGAATGTCCCTCCTTTCCCCTGCCTGGCAAGCTCCAATGTCCTTTAAGAGTGGACACCAGGCCTCACTCATCTTCACACCTGCAGGGCCAGCAGCCACAGAGCAGGTGGCTAAGCACAGGTGTCTGAGATGCTCTCAGCAGACTTGGGTCAGAGGCCAGGTCAGCAAGGCCTACACTATGGACTAGACCCTCACACCCCCTGTAAGTAGGAACGTCCTGGTTATTATGAGGCCAGGAGGGACCTTGTATAGACAACCCTGCCAGCCAGCCCCTTGCCTTACATCAAGATGCTGTTTTTAATGGAATTCTTATTTATTTATTTATTTATTTGGATCAGAGGTTAAACCCAGGGGTGTTTCAACACTGAACCATATCCCCAACCCTTTTTAAAAATTATCTTGAAACAATGTCTCACAAAGTTGCTGAGGCTGGCTTTGAACTTGTGATCCCCCTGCCTCAGCCTCCTGAGCCGCTGGGATTACAGGCATGTGCCACCATGCCCCACGACACAATTCTTTCTTTAAAAAAAGCCCACCACCATCCAGAGAAGCACATTCTAGAGCTCATAAAGCTGAACTTCTAACTCAGGTCCCTTGGGCCCAATTACACCTAGGAGGGAGGGAAGCTGGCAGCCACCCTGCTCTGCATGATCCAGGTGACCGTTTGCTCCTCAGCAAAACAGCTCAGTCTGCCCTATTTACCACTTCTTCCCAGTCCTTCTTTCTTAAGGGTGCAATCAAGCTAGTGTTTCCTGGATGCTTTCTACAATGAGGACATTTATACAGGGGCCCTGCCCTCCAGGAGTTTACAGAGCAGAGGGCCAGAACTCTCTGCTTCCAGGCTACACAAAGTCCACATTAGCATGCAGCAGTGATGGCCACCCCTCATGCACCAGCTCCAAGGCTTCAAGACCCTCCCAGACTCCACCAGTGGAACTCCACATCATGTACAACCACAAGAATGGGACGTTATACCCCAGTGTGTATATGTCCAAATACATTCTACTGTCATGTATAATTAAAAAGAGCAATGACAAAAACTGTCACAAGCAGGAGGGCCACAGTCTGCTCATTTCTGTAAGGGAAAGGTTTAACACTGGGCCTGGCTTTACTCATATTTCACCGATATTGATTGAGCATCCAGCGTACAGGGGTGGTAGGAGGAGACACAATGGTAAGCAAGAGATCACAGCCTCTGTCTTAGAGGAGTCCACTTTCTAGTTCAGGGGACAGAAAAGTCCACAGGCAATTCCCACAGAGCTCCATAACAGGGGAGGACTCAGGGGACAGGCACCCTGCCCTGGAAGGTCAAGAGTAGGCCACAGTGCCAACTGCGTGTGCACCTGCCTGTCAGGAAATGCAGGGGCTAGAAAGCCCTGAGGGCGACTGGGGGAGTGGGAGCATCCCGGGCTCCACTCTCACGGAGGCCAAAGGCACAGTGAGTTACAGGGGGACCAAAACCCGGGTCCCCACTGCTTGTCATGGCTTCAGTACAGCCCCGAGATTACGGGGCTTTAACTTAAGGGGAGAAAAACTGCCGGATTTTGATCCTGTCTCTGCCACTTACCAGCTGCGTGGCCGGGGGCCGATGACGGCCACTCTGTGCCTCAGTTTCCTCATCTGTAAACAGGAATCACTATGGTACCTATCTCCTGAGGCTGTCATGAAAATTAAACTCACAGACGTAAGGCCATTGGCACATCACGTCTCACGCAAGCGGAGGCGGCTATTGCTATTACTCCACGCACGCTCGGTCCCGCTGCGGGCTCGCCACTACGCCGGCTCCGCGGCGCCCCAGACCCCTTCCCGCCCGCGGACGCTCCCGCGGGGTGAGACCCCGGCGGCCTGGCCCGCGGCGCGCATGCGCAGGCCTCGCTGGGCCGCGGGTCTCGCGCGCGCTGCACGCGCCGTCGGCCTCGAGAGGGAGGCTAGGGCGGCGGTCACACTCCGCCACCGACAGGAGCGGCGCCTGCACCCGACAGCGCCCCCCCACCCCCGGGCTCCCAACCCCCAGACTTGGAGCGGGTCGGATCCTCACACTCTGCAGCAGACTCCTCCTCTGCGCCGCCATCTTGGAAGGACCCCCGCGGCGCGCCCTCCTCTGGGCGGAGCAACGAGTAGGGTGGCTAGAGCGGCTTAAGGAGCCGCGGAGGATTGCGCCGCCGGGGCGCGTGAGCACAGCGCCGCCCAGGACGGGAGGCGGGATGGGGCGCGCGGACCATGTGCGCAGGCGCTTCCCCCCCCACCCCCCCAGGGACGGAATTTGCGGAGTAGTTATTTAACACTCTATACGAGATTGTTCCTAGCCCGTCTCTCTTTTTTCTTCTTTTGGTTCCTGGAATTGAACCCAAGGCACTTAACCACTGAGCCACATCCCCACCCCTCTTTTTTTCTATTTTATTTAGAGACAAGGACTCGCTTGAGTTTTTTAGGGCCTCTCTATGTTGCTGAGGCTGGCTTTGAACTCGCGATCCTCCTGCCTCGGCCTCCCAAGCCGCGGGGATTGCAGGCGTGCGCCACCGCGCGGCTCCTCACCGGCCGTTAAGTGCTGACTTTCTCCAGGATGCCTTTCCGAGGGGATTCCTAAGGCTCTGGCTTAGGGCTCTGAATCAGGGGGACAGGGGAGTGAATTATTCACTCTTGGACTGTGCCTGGCCCTATAGTGAATTTCACAACCAGCAGAACAGGCCTTCCGGAAGCTAACGTTTTAATTTGCAAGGACAGAATTTACATACCAAAAACATTGCAAAGGTTTTGAATGATTGAAAGAAGTTCAAGTGTAGAGGCACTGGAGTGTGGTATTGCTGGCGACAGGGACACAGGCCAGGTGCAGGGAACTGGTGCAGAGGAACCGGGGAAAAGAGTGAGTTCAGGAAGCATGCAGGTCACAGAGGGCCACCAAAGCCAGGCAGAGGCAAGCTGTCGAACCCTGAGGAAGCCATTACCGTCCCCTTGGTAGAAGGAGTCCTTTGATATGTTCAGGGGGATTGGAATGGGGACAGGAAGACCAATTAAGGGACTCTTCTAGGTTAACAGTTCTGTCGGCTGATGGCAGTGGGTGAATTTTATTTAGGAAATGATTTGATCCTGGATTGGTTGTGGTGGTTGCTGAGGTTTGAATGTGTCCTCCCAAAATTCATATATTGGAAACTTAAACCCCAAATTCATGTGTTAGTGGTAATTGGAGGTGAGGCCTTAGGGACTTAATTAGGATTACGTCGGGGGTAGATCGTAGGGGGTGCCTCACGATGTCATTAATGGCTTTTTGAGAGGACGAGAGACTCCATTCCCACACTTGCCTGCAGCGCCCTCCACCGTGTTGTGATGCAGTGCGGGGCCCTTGCCAGCTGCTGCTCCAGGCTCTGGGACTTCCCAGCCTCCGGAACTATGATCCAAATAAACTTCTATTCTTTATAAATTTTCCAGTCTCAGGTATTTTGTTACAGCAACAGAAAATGGACTTAGATAGTGATGACAGGAAGAGAGGTGTCAAAGATTCTCCCCGATTTCAGGTAAGAACAGGTGGGCTTGTGGGGAGAGTGAAGGGAATGGCTGTGAGTTCTTTTTGAACATGTGGAGTTTGAGGTGTTTTTGAGACAAGAAGAGAATTCAAGTCAGTAGTTAGAGGGTGCTATACAGCAGGAAACCCCAATTCAGTGAGTCACCCCATAGATAGCTGTAAGGTCAGGCAGCGCCACCAAACGAGGCTTTATTGAGATTTCACTCCCAGGAGAGTCTCTCCAGACCAACGGGGCAGAGAGACCACGCAGGGTTCCACGGGATTGGAATTTTTATTGGGCTTAGGACAGGAAGGGAGGGCTTGGGACAGGAAAAGGGGGTTTTTTAGAGTCCCTTGTCCTACTGGGGTTGGTCGGGGGAGCTGGCTATGATCCAGGATTGGCCGGGAGACCCCGCTGGTTGACGCGCGGTTCTGTTGGGCCTGATTGGTGGTTCTTGCGCTCACAGGTTGCTTGGTGCTTGGTCCCTCAACTGGCCTAACAATAGGTGTCAGAGTTTGAACCCAGGACTCCGGATCTTTCCTGGGAGTCCTGTGAGGTGAGTGGACTCTCCAGTCTCGTCCCTGCTCAGCCTCCAGGTAACTACTGTAATTTCCCAAAGAGCCACTTAGTTTCCTGTCGCCACCTGTGGACAGCGTGTTGGCCCTGCCCCGAGTGCCCTTCCCCCACACCCAGAGACGACCCGTTGAGCTTCTGCTCTTATGAAATTCCTCCTTAGAAAGTTTTCTTGATTCCCACCCAGTATGAGCCCCTCTGTCACTTTTTTTTTTTTTGGTGCTGGGGATTGAACCCAGGGCCCTGTGCATACCAGGCCAGCACTCCACCAACTGAGCTATATCCCCAGCCCAACCCCTCCTCACTTTTAATCATTTAGTCACTTTGAGTCATTTAAAGGCGAGTGTAAATGTTCACAATGAACTTCCCGAGGGCAGGAGCTGCGGAGACTAGGCCCTGGGTTTCTCCACAGCCTCCAGGGAAGCTGCTTGGCAAATGTTTGCAGCACCGAATTGATTAAAGAACCAAAAAGTGGGGTGCGATGGCACACACCCGTAACCAGTGGCTCTGGAGGCTGAGGCAGGAGGATCATGAGTTCAAAACCAGCGTCAGCAATTTAGCAAGGCCCTATCCGGAGGGGGCAAATTGCGACGAATGCAGTCGAGGGGAGAAATAAAGAATGTCCACGTGCTTCTGCCCCTTTCAATGCTTTATTCACTCAAATTACTCGATACAATTTCACTCTATAGGTTCTTAATCAAGAAAACAGCAATCCTAATGCTGGGCACTGCAATAGACATGATCAATTGACAGCAAACAATTCTAGATTAATTCTAGGCACTGCAGACACACTTAATCATGACAGGCTCGTGACAGACATTCCCTCTCGTGCTGAGTTCAGAAGTCTCAAGCCTTAGGCTTTACGTCCAGCAGGTGCCCACTCACTCCGACCGCGGTGACCAGGTCCGGAACAAGGCAGGCTTTCCCTGGCGTGGAGTGGACGGCCGGCTGAGGAGAGGGTCGCGGGGAGAAGTTGCGGCTCTCACCAGGGTAGAGTTTGGAGCTGTGAGGATCACACAGAGGATCGGGAAGGATGACAAGTGATGGGATGTCAGGTCCTCAGCAGGCTCTCCAGCTCCAGTGCACCTTGTTTCCGCTGGCTGAATCCCTGCTCATCAGCACTATTATTTATACAGAATTTGGGGGCTTTTGGCCCCCCTTTCAGTCCTTATCAGCTACCACCGGATTTCTCAGTGACATCGTTCTCTCTGGGGTCAGAGACATCTGATCTGGTGGTTCCCACCCCGATCTTCTGGCCTTTCCCTCTTACCAGGCGCGGACAGCCTGCCGGGGGCTTCACTCTGTTTATCAGGGTGAGGGGAAGTGACTTGTCTGAGGCCTCACTGGAGGGCTCCGTGGGTGTGCCTGGGGAGACTGCAGGTTAAACTGGAGTTTTTAAGATGGAGTTGCTTAGGCTCAGGCCTCAGGCCATCCTCACAGGCCTAAGCAACTCTGCATGACCCTGTCTCTAAATAAAATAGAAAAAGGGCTGGGGATGTGGCTCAGTGATTAACTGCCCTGGGTTCAATCCCTGGTCCATGTCCCCCCAATAAAATAATAAAGAAGAGGACCCTGAGCCCAGCACGGCCCTTGGAGAATATACATTAAGTCAGCACCTTCTGTTTGCAGGGACTGAGCTCTGAAGGACTGCAGGAAGGATACAAGGACGTCTGCTGTGGATGGGCCTCCTTCCCCTCTGGGGACAGCGTGCCTGGAAGCCAAACTAAATGGATCCTCTTCTCCCAGGAGAACGGTGCTCGGCGTGTTGGAGTCTGCAGTCAGTTAAGACTGTCTCCTGCTGGAGGGACTGAGGCACCGCAGCCACTGGCTTTGGTAACCATTTAAACAGCCAGAGTGAGCTCTGGGCCACATCAGGCTGTCCCCGTGGGCGGGCTGGCTGGGGTGGACCAGGGTTCCCATGCGCCGTGGACCGCACACCTGCCTGGAGCCCTGGTGATGACTACACTGTGACCTTCCAGACCCAGACACCATCAGCTTTGGGTGCAACAGCCACCTTCTGGGAACCGAGAAGGGAAGGTTCCAGACCTCCTCTTAAGTCACAAGGAGGGCCCGTCACCCCCAGCAGCGCCACCCAGCCAGCAGATGCCAGTCTCCCCTTCGCCCTCACATACGGTGTTGCAGCCACCTGGTTTGCAGACAGTTCCTTGAAAAGATGACACACATGGGAGAAGGTCGTGAAGGGACAATAAGATTCTCCCCTCGCCCACCTCCGCCCCCTTCCTTCCCCTTGCTCTGACGCGGATCCCAGACAGATGCTTTGATGGGAGGGCGAGGAGCAGCAGCCGAGCCCTTCGCCTTCTTATTCCTTCTCTATTGCGAGCGTTGTGTCCTGCGGCCCAGCGGCCTTGGCATCTTAATGGCTGCATCAATTGGAGATGGTCGGTCAGAAAACTTCTCTGCAGTTGCTGTGCACTGAGGACTCACTCGTGCATTTAAGAGCTATTTATTGAACTTCTTAGAGGCACAGGGAAATGCCGCGGGAAGGGGAGGATTTGTTTTTATAACACGTCAGCAAAGGAAAAAAGGAGACGTGGAACCCGTGGGGTGAAATCTAGATCTCTGTGGGATCTGGGGTGCGGGGTGTCTCTTAATAAAAAATTCAAAATTCAGAATACGCTCCACTGTCATGTCTATCTAAAAAGAACAGATAAAAAATTAATAATAGAGGATGGGGTAGGAGACCCAGCGGGGGGCCACCTCCTCTGACTCCGGAAATCAGGGGCGGCTTCTTGGACAAGGTGACATCTGAGCTGAGGCCTGCAGAGTGCCTAGGCGGAGAGGGACTGGCCCGGGCAGGGAGCTGGTGGAGACGGCGCGGCCGCAGGGACACTGGACGCAGAGGCCCGGCTGGCTTGAGTGTGGTGAGTCCACAGGGAGCCACGGCCAGCTCGGCAGGGCCGGAGCAGCCTCACTCCGAACCATGGTAGAGTCCGGCGTCCCCCCGCGGGCTGTGCAGCAGGGGACGCAGGACCTGAGGACACTCCCTCTAGCTGCGGGGCAGGACCGGTTGTGGGGCTGTGGGTGAGAGACTGTCGCGCCTCTGGGGCACCCCTTTCAGACAGTGTCCCCAGGTCTTGTCCCTGGGTGTCTCTGTGCACCCTGATTTTCAGACCAAAAGCAGGGGCTCGGTTCTGCTCCTCTCTGCCACCCCGCGTCTCGCACACAGCAGTCACCAAATAAATGCTTGGTGAATGAGCATGTACTGAGCGCTCACCAAGCGGCACATTCATTACTTCCTGTGCCAGGGCTTACGGGTGTGTGACTGTCATCCCTGCTCTCTGGGTCCTCCAGCAGTGAGCGCCAAGATCAGGTATTCTGGGGAGACCCCTGTGGAGGAGGGAGGGGAGCCAGAGAAGAAGGGAGTTGGGGGTTAGGGGAGATGAAGGGGGTTTGGTAGGAGGGGCTCAGACCTTCGTATAGCCTAAAGAAGTGCTGACCAGACCAGCCGGGGTCCCCAATCTCTCAGGAGCCCGCTTGTGCTCAGTCGCTGGCTGGGAGCAGCCTGCTCCTGTAGGAATATGAGGGGAGATCTAGAGGGCAGCAGCTAGAACTGCTGGCTAACAATGTGCACAATCGCCATTTATAGCTCTGCGAATTGAGGCCCAGAGAGGTAAGGCCACTTGTCCAAAGTCACACAGCTGGGAAGGAGCGAAGCCCCTTTGTTTTCGAGGCTGTGTTTGTGACTCCAACTTGACAACAGCATTGTTACGGTGGAATTATGTCCCCAATTATGGGATTAGGTCAATGCAGATGTAATGAGTTAAGATGAGGTCACACTGGAGTAGGCTGGGCCACTGACCAATGTAACTGGTGCCCTTACGAAGAGGGAGAATTTGGACCCAGAAACAAATGCCTACAAGGAGAACACCAGGTGGACACTAAAGCAGAGCCTGGGCTGCAGTACCTACAAACCAAGGGATGCCGAGGGCCACCAGAGCCAGGAGAGACCTGGGAGAGCGTCTCCCTTCCGGCTTGGAAGGAATGGACCCTCGGACACTTTGACCTCAGACTTCCAGTTACAGTCCAAACCCAAGCCAATACCTTCCTCTTCTTGGGTCCCCAGTAGGTGGCATTTGTCACAGCAGCCATAGGCAGTTCATACAGTGTGACATCCTTAGGAGCAGTCACATGCAAAGAAGTCTGAGGTCTCTGGCTGAGAAGCAGCTCTGGGCTGCAGGAGGAGCCGGGCAGGCCTTGGCCGTGGATCCAGGTGGGCACAGGTGCACATGGAGTCCAGGGCTGCAGGAGCGTTTCCAAAGGTGTCTGAGCGGCATCGGTGACAGGATCACAGCCAGGAGACTGAGGCCCAGGGGATGGGAGTGACCAGCTTGAGGGTGGCATGGCCATCAGTGAACCCCAGATGGGCCCATGTCCCGTCTCCCCGGCCAGCCCCCTGGAGAGGGCCGAACTGCGGCCAGCTGCACCCCTGGCCCACCTGGGCAAACGCACAGGCAATCCCTGGCCCTCCGGAGGCTTGTGGCCGGCCAGCCTGGGACGAGGGCTGCTGAGGCCCCCCTCCTGCACTTACCCTCGGCTCTGTCCACCGAGGCCCTGGCTTCTGAGCCATCCTTTCCGAGGCCCCCGGGAGGCTGCCAGTGCCCATCTGCCAGGCAGGCTGCTCTTCCGTCTGGAGGCTCCTGGAAACAGCCGCCTCGGACCCCTCCCACAGCCACCTGCCCACCGGCCCCAGAGGAAGGGGAGTTTGCTGGAAGATGGCCAAGGGTGGACCCAAAGGTCTTTCCGGAGTGTCCAGAGGACTGTGGGCAAGGAGAGCCAGGGTTTGCCTCCCAGCCCCTGGCACCCACTTCGCCATCTCTACAGCAGACGGGCATCCAGCAGGTGTCAGGCCACAGCAGGGAGGCCGCGGGCGGAGCGTGGACTGAGGCACTGAGACCTGGTTTGGGGCTCAAGTCAGCCACTACTCACTTTGTGACCTCAGATAGGTTGCTTCACCTCTCTGGGCCTCCTTTGCCTCAACAGTTAAATGGAGGTAATTTTACCCCCTCTGCAAGATGCCTGGGAGATAGAGCAGGCATGGGGCAGGGGCCAGCGCAGCCGGCACTCAGCAAAGACTCCACCAATGGCTCTGTTGTTGCTATGGAAGGCGCTGGGGGTTGAGCGGTAAGGTGGTGCCCCTGTCCTTGAGGAGCAAACAGGTGAAGATAAGTGTGACTCACCATTACTGACCCACACCAGGAGCGAGCGAGTCACAGAAGAGGGCCGTACAGGCTGGTGGTGGGAAGAGGACGGAGAGGAGAAAACCCCAGAAGGCTTCCTGGTGGAGGGGGCAGCCCCAGGCAGCTCAGCTAACTTCTCTAAGAATCTGGTCAATTGTTCCTCCCTTCCTTTCCTCCCTCCCTCCCTTTCTTCCTTTTGCATTTCTGGGGATTGAATGGGGCCTTGCTACCCAAGTTCTCTACCACATCCCCAGCCCCTTTTATTTTTATTTTGAGACGGGGGTAGTGCTAAGTTGCCCAGGTTGGCCTCAAAAAGTAACTTTGAGACAAAACTCTATGGTGACCAAAGCAGATCAGTGGTTACAGGAGTAGGGCTGGTAAAGGAGCCCAGGGAATGTTCTGGGCCTCATTGTGCCGGTGGTTACTTGGCTGTGTTTGTCGGACCTCATGGCACTTCACACTTGGAAGTGGTGAGTTTTATTGTGTGTGAATTGTGTCTGATGGGGCGGGACTGGGGCTGGGGCTGGGGCTGGGGCTAGGTGGAGAGCGCTTGCCTCACAAGTGTGAGATCCTGCGTTCCAATCTCAGCACCACATAAAAATAAATCAGCAGTCACCCATAATCCCCACTGCATTGTTAATGACTTGGTAAATGACCTAGAGAAGTAATATGTGTACTCCATACTTACCTTTACAAATATTTGGTATCATTGTACATACTATTTTCTAATCTGATTTTTTTTTTGTGTGTGTGTGTGTGTGTGATCAGGGATTGAACCCAGGGACTTAACCACTGAGCCACATCCTCAACCCTTTTTATTTTTATTTTTTTGAAACAGGGTCTCACTCAGGTGCTTAGGACCTCACTGCATGGCTGAGGCTGGCCTCCAACTTGCAATCCTCCTGCCTCAGGCTCCTAAGCTGCTGGAGTTACAGGTGTGCACCACTGTGCCCAGTTAATTTTCAAATCTATTTTGATATTATCATGTGAACATTTTCACTCTGCTATTATCCTGCAATGAAGTTTTATTTCCCACATGGTGGCCCACCTGCAGATACCACCCGCCTGAGTGCCCCCCCTCCTACTCCCATGTGATGGCCTGTCATTTCCTGCTTCTCAGGCTCCTGCAGGGTGCCCTGTACATCCTACAGCACAACTCAGCATTCCCTGTGTGGCCCCAAGTGGACCTGGCGTGAGGGCCCCCAGCAGACCGTCTCCCTTCAGGAGAGGCAGAGCAGCCCCTGCCCCAGCACCTCCACCTGAAACTGAGCCCCCAGGCCAACCCAGCCTGGGTGAGCTGACCAGGGGACCCACAGACGCACGATGAGTCCTGGAGGGTTTGCTCTGCAGCAAAAGCTGCCCCATGCAGTGAGGGAACAAGGCCTTCAGGCTTCGTGCAGAGAGCAACATTTGGGCTGGGAGTCAGGCCAGGCCGGGGAGGGCCAGGAAGCACTGAGGGTGCTGCACATCGTGAGCCTCAGTCAGACGTCGCTGCACACCCTCCATGGCTAAATCCCAACACCGACTACACCAAGTGCTGACGAGGATGCAGAGCAACAGAAACTCCCGTTCTTTGCTAGTGGGAATGCAAACTGGTGCAGCCACCTGGAAGATGGTTAGGGGGTCTTCACAGAGATGAATATTCTCCTACCATAAGAAGCAGCTCCTTAGTATTTACCAGAGATGAAAAGAAATGCATTATCAGACCACGAAAGGACATGGAGGGACTTCACAGTATATTGCTAAGTAGGAGAAGCCAGTCTGTAGAGACCGTATACTGTATGATTCCAACATTCTGGAAAAGAAAAAACTGGGGAGATGGCAAAGAAAGCAATGGCTTCAGCCAGGCACTGTGGGTGGAAGCCCAGTGACTCGGGAGGCTGAGGCAGGAGGATTGCGAGTTTGAGGCCAGCCTCTGCAAATTAGTGAGGCTCTGTCTCAAAATAAGTAAATAAATAAAGATGTCTGGGGATGTAGCTCAGCGGTAGAGCACCAGGAAGGAAGGAAGGAAGGAAGGAAGGAAGGAAGGAAGGGCATCCAGGAATGCAGGGAAAGAGAGGGAAGGATGAATAGGTGATACATAGGGGATTTCTAGGGCCATGAAATTATTACTATTCTTTACATGCTTCATTTATTTTCAGCACTAGAGATTGAATCCAGAGGCATTTTACCCCTGAGCTACAGCCTCAGCTCTTTTCATTTACTGATTTCATTTTATTTTGAGGCAGGGTCTTGCTTAGTTGCTGAGGCTGGTCTCAAACTTGTGATCCTCCTGCCTCAGCCTCCTGAGAAGCTGGGATGACAGGCATGCACCACCCTGTCAGGTGCCCTGAGATTATTAAACCCCTAGGAACGGTTCTGTTGCATAAGCACATGCCCGTTTTTAATGGTTGATGACTGGAGAGTTGGCTCTCAGTTTACAGCTGGGCCTCTGGGCTTTTTAACACTCAGATGAAAACAGCGGCAGTCCCTAGGGTCAGGCCTTCGCAGGCCCCCACCCCACTCCCCACCCCTGCTTATGTCCCCCCAGCAGGGCTTCCTGTTGTCTGCCCCGACTTTGGCTGTGGCTCCTCATCTCAGCCACGGCCTCTCCTCTGGACTCCTCAGAGACATCACTTCCCACAGTCTGGTGACATCTCCAGGCCTCGGGGGCTGGCTGGTGGCTCCTGTGGGCTGGGCACCCTTCGTGAATCACAGAAACGTGGCCATGATCAGCTGAACAGAAGCTTCTTGAAGGTTTGGGGCAGATCTCAGCCTGCCCTGGCTGAGGGAGGTCCTGCCTGGGATGGCACCAGCTGCCTCTCCGCTGTCTGGGGTCAGGCCCAGGCCATGTCCCACAGTGGGAGTGCCACAGGCTGGCACCGCACCCAGGGCCCTGGCCGAGGCTGCTGCAGCTCCTGCTCCTGAAGGGTCCACAGTGGGAATACTGTTCCCCTAGGGAAGGTCCTGACTCCGCTAGAGGGCTGGTCACCTCCCCAGGCCCGGCCAGACCGCCACGCCAGTGACCGTACATCTTCCAAGCCAGGCGAGCTCGCCAGCCTGCTCTGCTCAGGTCTTGTTGCTGTTGTTGTTTTGTCTTCGCTGTGAGCAGAAGACCTAGCAGAACAGTTAGAGGAGGAGAAGTTTATTTGGGATCATGGTTTCAGAGGTCTCAGTCCACAGATGGCTGTCTCCGCTGCTCTGGGCCCCAGGCGAGGCAGGACATCTTGGCAGAAGGGTGTGGTGGAGGGAAGCCACTCAGACCAGGGCACCAGGAAGCAGAGAGCTCCACTCCCCAGGGACGAAATATGCATCCGACGGCACCCCCAGTGACCCGCCCTCCAGCCACGTCCTACCTGTTCCACTCACTCAGTCTCTTCAAGTGGATCACGGGCTGCGTGGGCTAAGGCGCTCGGATCCCCAGCGTTTCACCCCTGAACTTTCTTGCTTTGACTCACACGTGAGTTTCGGGGGGACACCTCATATATAAACTCTAACACCAGGGCGCCCCAGCAGGCCCAGGGCACCCTGCTGAACTTGGGCAGCCCCCCCACATCCTCCTGTGGAAGCGGTAGTTACAATGTGAGCGCGCGCACACACACACACACACACACACACACACAATCACAAGATTTTCCTGCATATTGCTGTCAACGTTTTTTTATTCTTTAACACACCAGCTCACAGGATTGAATGGAAGACGTGACACTGCAGTCGGAAGTGCCTGGCTTTGGGCAGAGCTCTTCCCTCCAGCTGCCCGACAAGGCCTTTCAAGAACAAAAGGAGGGTCTTCCCAGAATAAATCCCCTCTCAGGCCCTTAATGCAAAAACTGCCCACCATCTTAAAAATGGCAGTTTGCAGCTTGGCACCTCTAAGATGACTTCTCCCGTGGCACCCCACCACACGCTCATTCCACTTGCACTGATGTTTGAAAATTGGCAATTCGGATCGGTACTTTTTCGTCTGAGTACTTTGGCTGGGTGTGGTGGTGCACGCCTGTGATCCTAGTGGCTCAGGAGGCTGAGGTAGGAGGACCATAAGTTTAAGGCTAGCCTCAGCAATTTAGTGAGGCCCTAAGCAACTGGTGAGACCCTGTTTCAAAATAAAAAATAAAAAGGGGCTGAGGATGTGGCTCAGTGATAAGGGCCCCTGGCTGATTCAATCCCTAGAGGACACACACACACACACACACACACACACACACACACATACAAAGGTACTTTGATTTGTTTTAATTTGCATTTCTCTGATTGCTAGAGAAATTGGACATTTTGGGGTACATAATATTGGCCCATGTGTATTTCTTCCTATGTGAGTTGCCTATTTCAATGACAGGCTTATGTTTTTGTTGCTAACATGTTGGGATTATTTCCCCCAGTTTTTCATTCTCATTTCATTTATATTCTGACAGCTAAACATTTACATCTTTACATGGCCAAATAAAATATTTTCCTCTATGACCTCTGTCTTCTGTGTCATCCTGAGGAAAAGACTCCCCACCTTAAATTCATGTCAACATTCATTTATGAGGGCAACCTTGATTCTTGTTTGGGATTTCAATGCAATGGAAGGGATCCAATTTCATTGTTTCCAGATACAGAGCCAAATTCCTAGGAAACTTGCTTATTGAATAATCTCTTCTTCCCCTCACTGCTTTGAAATGCTACCTTTATCGCTTTAGTAGATCCTGTACACCTACACCGGTGTCTTTGTTCTTAAAATCCCTGCTTCCCAGGGTGTTATGAGATTAAAGAAGTAACCTCATCAGGCCTGAGCACGGGGGACATGGGATCTGCTCCAGGTGTGTGGTCTCCCCTCCCCTCCCTCCCTCCATATGCTATGCCATTGACCTTGGGGTGCGGCCACAGCTCCTCACCATTAGGCCCCAAGCTACTTTCTGGTCAATGTGATCTGGCTCAGGAGCTGGGGTGGATTGGGGTGGGGTGGCCTGTCAGGGAGACTTCACAGGGAGATGGCCTTTAAGCTGGGTGTGGGAGGGGAGAGGAGTGGGCAGTGGAGCAGGGAGAAAGGGCCATGCAGGCCAAGGAAACAGCATGACCCAAGTGGGGATGACATTGGGCAAGGACAGGAAGTCCAGGGGGAGGGGGGCAGCAGCTCACCCAGAAGGAGCTGCTTGTAGGGTGAGGGGCTTTGTCTTGTAAGGTGAGGGGCTCATGGAGTGGCAGCCACATGGTCATGTCTCCGTGACTTAGGAAGATCACCCTGGGTCAGATGGGAGGCAGGGAGGCCAGCCTTAGGAGGCTACTGAGACAGCCTAGATAAAGGGTCACGATGGCCGTGAGGGTGGAAGGAAAGGGACAGTTCACAGGAATATCCTAATGGTCAAAGCTGGCAGCAGCCGGCAGGGGAAGGAAGGGGGGGGGGGAACTGCAGGCTCCTGGCTCGGGCAGCAGGACAGATGGTGGGGGCGGGCACTCCAGGGACAGCAGGTTTAGGCCTGGCAGGGGAGGGCTTCGGGGGACAGAGGGTGTGGTGGGAGACACTGAGAAGTTCAGTGTGTGCACGCAGTGTGTGCTCTCCAGGCTCCTGGAGGCCAGGGCCGAAGCAGGGCAGAGGGACGGCGGGAGTGGGCGGTTTGGAAAATATTTAGGAAGTGAGTCAAGGAGATCTGGTGGGTGAGAGGAGAACTAGTCTAGGACCATACCTGGGGGTCACTGGGTGTGACACAGGGGAAAGAGGAAGCTTGATGGGCAGATCTGTTCATTAACCAATCTTCAATTAAGCAGCTGTGTGTGTCAGACTTTAGCACCTGATAGACCAACACCATCCCTGCCCTCGGGGACCTACATTCAGTGAGGACAGATGGACGATAAAAAAAAATCAATAAGTAGGGCTGGGGCTGGGGCTCAGTGGTAGAGCGCTTGCCTGGCAGGTGTGAGGCACAGGGTTCGATTCTCAGCTTCGTATATAAATAAATTAAATACACTCCACTGATCAATATTTCTATCCTTATCCCAGTACCAGTCTTGCTTGCTGGAGCTTTATAATAAATTTTGAAACAGAAAAAAAAAATTAAATAAAGTCCATTGATAACTAAAGATACATTTTAAAATAGAGCAATTTTAAAAAATCAATCAGTAAATGTGTGTCAGGTGGTAACAGGTGCTATGTAGGAAAATAAAGAGGAACTGCCTTTAAAAAGGCATGGCCAAGGGTGGTCCCACTAAAAGGTGTCTTTGAGCACAGACCTGGGGAGAGGGGAAACGTGCATTCCAGGCCAAGGGAACAGCAAGTGCAAAGGCCCTGAGACAGAAATGTGCTAGGAGCCAGTGGCTGGAACGAGGGAGAGAGAGGCCAGGCACGAGATGGGAGAAGTAGCGGGCAGATCCTGTGGAGCCTTGGAAATTTTGTGGGGGACAGGGGGGTTACTGGGGATTGAACTCAGAGCACTAGATAACTGAGCCACATCCCCACATCTATTTTGTATTTTATTTAGAGTCAGGGTCTCTCTGAGTTGCTTAGCACCTTACTTTTGCTGAGGCTGGCTTTGAACTTGACATCCTCCTGCCTCAGCCTCCTGAATCACTGGGATTATAGGTGTGTGCCACCATGCCTGGCTTTGACTTGTATTTTAAATGCTTAATGGTTAAAATTTCCTTGGTCTTTGGATCCCAATGCTGTCACTCTAGATGGATGAGTTTGGAGAACTCCATGCCTTCACCATCTGTAAAGTGGGGATAGTAACAGGACTCCCTTTGTATGGTTATTTGAAGATCAAATAAGATTAACAGAAGGAAAGGTCTCGCTCAGGACAGCCTCTGGTGAATTCTGATCACTACACATGGAAGCAGTTATCATACTAATGATAATCAACACGATGCTCTTGGTGAGGATACACTGGCTAAGGTCAGGGTGGAAACGGGCACCATTTGAGTGGCCCCTGCCGTGGGGCAGAGCGATGGAGTGGCCTGGACTAGGGGGACCACAGTGCACGCCAGGTGGTCAGCAGTGGAGATGGCTGAATGTGCTGACGGGTCAGATGTGAAAAATGGGAGGGGCGCTGAGCACTGCTTCAGGGATTCTGTCCTGAGCTGCCGCTTGACGACGGACGAGAGGCTGCAAGAGGAAGCCTGGGCGCCAGCGTGGAGCGTGTCAGCTGGGAGACGGGGCCTGGGTGTCCCAGGGTAAACGCAGCTGGAGTGGCCTGAGCTGGGCGAGGACACTGGACAGCAGCCAGGACACAGTGGACATGTGGTGCTGGGAGACCAGATGGGCTGGCAAGGAAGGGAGTGTGGAGGAGAGGAGGCCCCAGGATAGGCCTGGGGCCGCCAGGTGGACACCGAGGGCTCCCCCCAGCCGGGTTCAGCGAGGTGCCTCGTGAAATGCCTGCACTTTTGAGGCGCCTTGTGCAGAGGGCTTTCTGTTTTGCCTGAAATCTCTCACACATCCGAAGTAGCATTTCTAGGACACATAATTGGGACAGGGCTTGGGAAGACACCAGAACACAGAGGAAGCACAGGGGACAGATGGGGAGCCAAAGCAGAAGCCTTTGCCACTCCAGAGACACGCAGCGCAGGGAGGATGTTCACATTAGAGACAGGCTTTCAGGGGGCGCGAGTGACCCAAAACGTGCAGAAGGATTGAAGGAAAGGCAGCGGGGGCTGGGAGCGCGGCTTCAAAGATGGACACACTGTGGTTCAAGCCAGGCTCTGCCCCACGGTGACTCTGGCTATGGCACTGTCCTTTTGTCCTAGCTTGTCTGTGAAACAGGAGCATCAGGGCGTCTCTATCACAAGTATCGGAAGCTGTGAACCAGATAACGCTTTATAAAGTGCTCCACGTAGCTCCAACCCACAGTCAAGTGCAGCTGCCTAAATTCACAGGGAGAGCAGGAAAAGCAAAAAGGATCCAAAATAGAACAAAGGGGAAATGCACAGGGCTGGAATCAGTGCTGGGAGCGGGGCTGGATTCTCAGGCGTGACTCTGACAGACCGGCCCTGCTCTCAGAATAATGTGCTGCCAAATCCCTGTGCTGTCTTGGAAAGCCCCATAATTTCATCCTTGAACTTGTGTTTTGCAAGCAAATCCAGTGCAAAGGAAGTACATGCGGGAGCAGAGAGGACATACCAGGTGGCATCGAGCAGGTTGAGGCCAGTGAGAATGACTGGCAATGAGTAGCACAGGTGCCTAGTAGTTGCCCTGGCCACCTGGCATGCACCCACATGGCTGGGCAGCCTGGGACACTGTGGGGCTGCAAGGGGACAGCAGGGGCCAGAATCTGTGCCCAGACTGGCAGCAACAGAAGAAACAATGGTGGTGGCACTTCCAAGCCAACCACGCCAAGGCAAGAGAAGGGGTCCACCTGGAAAGGCACTCCCAGCTCTCCGCCCAAGCACTGGCCAGGTGCCACCCGCCCACCACTGGCCCGCCGCCTGCACCAGGGTGGTAAACTTTGTCATGATATGTGAGTTATTAAAATATAACATGTGAATTATTAAATTGTTAGAAAATAAAAGCATCCACCTGGATGTTGCAATAAAACATAACAGAGAATTTTCCAAAGAGTTTAGAATCTCTGGTTTTGAGAACTGCTGCAACATTGCAAAGCAAAAATCCTCAGGCTTGGGCTGGGGATGTGGCTCAAGCGGTAGCGCGCTCGCCTGGCATGCGTGCGGCCCGGGTTCGATTCTCAGCACCACATACAAACAAAGATGTTGCGTCTGCCAAATACTAAAAAATAAATGTTGAAATTCTCTCTCTCTCTACCTCTCTCTCACTCTCTCTTTAAAAAAAAAAAAAAGATCCTCAGGCTTACACATGGAAATTTAAGTAGAACGGTCATCACATTCTATAGAAAACAATTGTATGTTCAGGTGAAGTTTCACTGTTATTGAGGAAGACAATTTTAAGATTAATTTTTTTTGTAATAGAAGAAAAAGCAGGTGACTCGCATAAACAGGTTATTAAAATAATATACATGGGCTGGGGATGTGGCTCAAGTGGTAGCCCGCTCGCCTAGCATATGTGAGGCACTGGGTTCGATCCTCAGCACCACATTAAAAAAATAAAAATAAAGACATTATGTCCACCTAAAACTAAAAAATAAATATTTAAAAAATAATAACAGGGCTGGGGTTGTGGCTCAGCGGTAGAGTGCTCACCTAGCACATGTGAGGCCCTGGGTTCAATCCTCAGAACCACATAAAAATAAATAAATAAATAAAGATATTGTGTCCATCTAAAAAAAAAAAAGCAATAAATATATTTTAAAATAAATAAATAAACAAATAATAACAATATGCAAATCACACTTGGCGAGGTAGTGCACACCTGCAATCCCAGCAACTCAGGAGGCTGAGGCAGGACTGCAAGTTCGAGGCCAGCCTCTGGCTACTTAGTAAAAAGGGCCAGAGATACAGCTCAGTGGCAGAGTGCCCCTGGGTTCAAACCCCAGTTCCACTAGCAAATAAATAAATAAATAAATAAAAATTAATTAAAACATCACAGCATGAACAACTGTTCTGGTCACCTGGGAAGGCTGGCACATTCGCCTGGAGCTCCAACTTTTCCAATTTGTCTTCCCATCATCCCCTTTAGAGAGCTCTCAAAGTGAAACTCCTGCTTCTGAATTACCCTGGGGCGGGGCGGGGCACATCCGGGTCCCTGGCAGGTAATACCTGTGACAAGTGCTTTGGTGTCTGAAGACTGCCGCTCCTACTTGAATGAGGGCGGGGAGCAGTTGCACGTGGGGGGTGGCGTGACCACTAAGCAATACCGCCTCCGCGTCCCAGTTAATCTTCTTGACTGAGATGGGCAGCTAACCCGGGGTCCAGCAGGGTGGGTGGCCTGGCCAGCCCACGGCAGCACTGGGTAGGGCCCAGCGCCGCGGGCCCCAGGGATCGTTCCCTGCGGCAGGCTGCAGCCTCCTGGCCGCGTCTTCCAGGCGGTGGGGCTCCACGCCCAGAAGTCCCTTCAAGGCAAGGGCTTAGCGCCTGGGGAACCGGAAGTGCGAACCCCCCCAGGCCTTGGCCCCCCCACTTCTGCTTAGCCAATCCTTGTGCCCCATCGTGGAGAAAGGCGACCTGATTGGCTTAGCCATCACCAGGTGTGGGCGTGGTCACACCATGACTGACAGTGGGCCGACTTACCTGCTCCTCCACCCCAACCCGAGCTCCCGCGCCTGCTCTGATCAGCTGGGACCTCTTTTGTCCTTCTGATGGCTCCTCCAAATTCATCTTGACCTCTTCCGCTCTTTCATCATCAAGGTGATCCTTCTGTCTGCACAATGGTTGGCATCTTTCAATGGTCATTCGGCCCACAACACACCAGTTTGGCCACCACCCTTAGTGGTTTTCCATGTCACTGGGCCCCCATCTAGACCCCCAGAGAATGAACCCCTAGAGAATGAACAAGCCCCATTCCTGAGACCTCGAGTGGTGGGTCCCCTTCAGCCTGTCCCTCTTCATTCTCCTCTTTCCGTGCCTGCCACTCTCAAGCTCCTCCCCAGCCAGCCCCCTTGCTGCCAAACCCCTGTTCATCCTAGAGAACTCGGGGTGTCACTTGCTCAGAGGGCTGCCTCTGAGCTCCTGGTTTCACCCGCATCTTCTGGCCTTCTTGCCAACCCCGCCCCAGCACAGCTCACAGTTTATACTTGCGGTTGTCTAACCCAGACTTCCTCTACTTGGTGACCATCTCTGGAAGGGTGGGGACTTATCTGCTGTGGAACTCCGAGGCCCGGCACAGTGTCTGGCACTTTCTAGGCTAACTCAGTGGCCAATTCAGGGCCACTAACTTTAAAAACAGAGTCCCAGACCTTGCATACTGAAGAGATGGAAATGGTCTGGAATGAGGCCTTGGCCTCATCCTGGTTACCTGTGGGGTTGGAGGAGAGACCAGGACAGGGAAGTGGGGGGCAGGGGTGTGCATTTGTGCACATCAGGGGGAGACTGGCTTCAGTTGCAGTGATTTTACAATTTTACTTTTTAAAAAGGAGAATATATTTGGAGCTTCATGTAATTAATAGCTTCCTGTGTAATTAAAAATTAACCGAACAATAATAAATAAATAAGACGTGGCCAGGCACTGTGATGCACGCCTGTAACCCCAGTTACTTGAGAAGCTGAGGGAAGAGGATTGCAAGTTTGAGGTCTGCCTGGGCAACTTAGCAAGCACCTGTCTCAAAATAAAGAGGAAAATGGGCAGGGGATGTAGCTCAGTGGTAGAGCACCCTGGGTCCAGTCCCCAGTCCTGCAAAACAAACAAATAAGACATGGCCCAGGTCAGGGGAGACAGAGGCGATGGCAACGCCAAGCCACAAAGAAACACTGACAACTTGTGATCCGCTGGTGGGTTCTGAGTCTTCACTTTATTACTATGTCACCAGAAGTCACCACCTTCACTTGGTTCACCACAAATGGACAGATGTCATAAAGGAGGGTGCCACAGGGCCACTGGATTCACTCTTAAGAGACTTGACCAGGTAGTGGTGGGGGTCTAGATGGGGGCCCAGGATGGGGACCACCCTTCACCACACGTGCGCGTGCACGCACACACACACATAGATATATTTGTGGAGCCTTATATTATACATCTTATATATAGAAAATATATATATTTATACTATACACAGGCAGTACCGCTGCGGGAAGGGCCAGGGCACCCAGACAAGGGCTGTGGGCACCAGGGGCTGGGAGTGTCAGGTCAGGGGCAGCGCTGGGAGGTGGCTGGACCAATCCATCCTCCATAAACTCTGGGGGTCAATCCCCCTTCATGCTCCTTAGAGAATCAAAGGAGCCTTGGGCCAAGGGTAGCAGCCCCCAGGGGTAACAAATGGGAGCTCTTGGTACATAGGAAGAGCCTGGGGCCCTCAAGAGTCTTTGAGATCGAGATTCACCAGGGAAGGAGGGAGAGGGGAAGCCGATGCAGGCTCCTGGGAATTAGCCCCTCCATTATCACACCTCCAGGTGGATGAGGAGCCACCCAGGCCTGACGGCCCATTGCACAGGATCATGTCAACTCAGGAGGCAGAAGAGAGGGCTCCCCACCTCTTGTTCTGTGCTTGACCTTGGACAGATTACTGCCTTCCTGTCCAGACTGGAGCCTTTCTAAGGGTCCTTGCAGCTCCACACTGTGGAACCCATTTCCAGGGCCTCTTGTGCTTGATGGGGAAGGGGGAGTCCAAACCCTGCAGGGTTGGGCTGAGGGCGAGGTGTGGGGCACTTCTCCAAGGAAAATTTGGAAAAAAAAAGGAAAGCAAAGGGCATTGGAGGAGCCAGAGGGGATTCGAGATGCCGGGGCCTCGGGCTCAGGGCCCCAAGGGGCTGTGTGCAGACAGCAGAAGGGGGATGAGGCCTCCAGCAGCACTCAGGGGTGTGTCCCGTCCAAATCCTACCCTCGAACATCTGTCACCCTCTGTCTCATTTTCACATAGAACCCAGCTGCTGTCCAGCTGTCTCAGGCCTTCTGCCCCCACTGCCCTCGGGGGGCCTGGACAGACCCAGTTCTGATCCACGCCCACTGCTAGCTTGCCTGTGCTCACGGAACCTCAGCGTCCCTTCTGTTCAGGGGGACAGTGCTGCTCCTTCCCCGCTCCTGACCCACCTCAGGACCCTTGCTCAGGGGAGCCTTGGGCTCACGGGGGTTTGCCCCACGCCTCCCACCCTCAATGGCTCTGTGTACCTTTTCTGGCTGGTGCTTGTCTTCCCAATGGACCATAAGCTCTGAGGGCAGGGAGCAGGGACCATGCACACCCTCTGTGTCCCCAGCACAGGAACCTGACAACTGGCTGCTGAGAGTGAGCAAGGCAAGGGGTGAAGGGGTCAGGGGGCGAGGGCTCTCTCTCCCCATCCCTGTGGCCAACCCACAATCCCCTCTGCTCTGCTGCCTGAGGTACTGGCTCGTATGCACCGGGCAGAGAGGTGCAGGAGGACGGACGGCACAGACACGCAGCCTCCCTGTCACTTGCAGCTCAGGGTGGAGGAACCTTATGCAAGAGCCTTCCCTGCCCAGCTCAGAAGGGCCCGCTATGCCCGCAGGCCCCACCCGTGCCTGTGTCTCAGGGGTCGCCAATGCCCTACCTACTGCAGCCCAGTCACCCTGAGCCACTCTGCACCAGCCGCCCTCCCTGGGTCCCCTTGGGGGCTTTGCACTGCCTCCCACAGCAGGCCTCTGGAAGGCCAGGGAAAGATGCCTCATGTCCAGGGTTGCTCCAGCCGGAATCCCTGGCTGACCCCAGCGAGAGGAGGATGAGTGTCCCAGATCAGGCAGGGTATCAGGCACCTGCTGGGTGACTGGGGTCAAGAAACCTAGGCAGCAAACCCAGCTCAGCTCCACCGGCTCATTGGGACCTTGGGCCAGCCCTGCCCCCCACCTGGCCTTCTTACCCACCAGCCCTGGGCATGGACCTGGGGAGCCAGTCGTTTGGGAGACCACAGAGGGAGTTGCTAGAGCTCCCTGCAGGACATAGAGCAGGAAGCACGGGGTCATGGGCAAGCAGGGTGAGCACCCCGGGAGAAGGAGAAGGCCAAGGGTGGGCACCCACAGGAGCAGGCCCCTGGCTTGCAGCAGGATTGTGGTGTCTTGGGGCTGAGGCGCCCATGGCCCCAGGACGAGGACACCACGGAGCCAGGCTCGTGATGCGGGGGGCGGGCAGGGCAGGAAGAGCGGGCAGGCACCATCCTCGGGGCTGCCTGCCCAGCCCTGCCTTCACTGCCAGCCTCCTGAGCCACCTGGGCAAGCAACCTTGACCTTCCCAGGCCTCGGCTTCCTCAACCTGCCAGTCCTAGCAGGTCGGGTGTGTTGACAGGTTCTGGGGGTGACAGCCTGAGCCCCGTGCCACCAGACCTCTGGGCATCACCCCAGCCCTGCCTTGGTGCTAACAGGGCTCCCTCCACATCTCACCCAGCCCTTGACAGGGATCACCTCTGCCTCTTCCCCATGTGTGCTGAGCACAGGCCTGGCACACAGCAGGCGCTCAACAAGCACTTGAGGACACAATGAATGAATGCACCTCACCCCTGTCCCCCAGTCCCTGCTGGGCACATGCCCTGGACACACTTGCAGACTCAGGCAGAGAGAACCCAACACCTGGCTGCTCCCACCCCTCCAGAGCTCCCGGGACCTCAGTGGAACACCTTGAGGCTGTGGGGTGCTGGGCAGGGCAGCCTGGGAGGGGAGGGTGTGGGGCGGAGAGCAGGGCAGAGGGCGGGGGCAGGGCACTCGAGGATGGGGCAGGCGGTCACTGCGGCTCAGTAGCCCTGCGACTGGTAGCCCTGGGGCTCAGTGTCAAAGGCGTTGGCCGGCTGCTGGTAGGTGCCACCCATGCCGGCGGGGTCCGGCCCGGTGCTGGGCTCCACGTAGGGGGCGTAAGGCATGCTGGAGTCCTGGCTGGGGTCCATGTAGTCCTGGGAGAAGAGGGCCGAGTCGGCGCCAATCTGGTACCGCTGGAAGGCCAGCACAGCCTGGCCCGCCTGGGGGCGGGGGCCAGCAGGGACAAGGACAGGTGGGAGGGGTGGTTAGGGGAGAGACAGACAAGAGCCGGGGTTAGTGGAGGTTAGTTCACAGGACACAGGCAGTAGAAGGTCTCAGGCCCTCAAAGCACTGAAGTGAAAGTAAGTCCAACTGGGGGCAGGAGGGCCGTCCTGGCGGCCACCCTGCCTGAGGCCCAGAGGTCACTCTAGGCCACCAAGAAGTCCTGACCTCTACTGTGGAGGGTTAAGATGGCCCCAAAGCCCACAGCCTCCTCCTCGAACTGTGACCTCAGGGCTGCTCTGTGGAATGGGGCAAAAAGTTTCTTAATAGGTCAGAGAAATCTTGGCACCTCCTAAAAGCCATCCTCTGTCTTGCAGCTAGGCATAGACACCTGACTAAGTTTTAGCCACTATGGTGCCCCCATGTTCTCTGTCCCACTCTCTGCTCTGATACCTGGAACACAGATGTGATTGCTGGAGCTTGAGTTGCCAAAATGGACCGCAAAGTCCATAAGCTACATTGTAGGAGGGAAGATGGCTGGGTCACTGAAGACCTCAGAGCCACTCCGCCAGTCCTGGGCCCCTCCTTACACCTAGACTTCTTTGAAACCGCGGTTATTTGAGATTTCCATCACTTGCTGCTCACTCTAATTCTTGCTGAAACACATGGTCAGAGAAGTTTGGGAAACGGAACTAAATGGAAGGAAACTAGTTTCAGGACCATAGGACTTGCCAGATCCCCACGGGGGAATGGTGGCACCCAAACTTTGCTAACCTCATCTGACCCCACGCCCGGTTCTCCCAGAGCCCAGGCGAAGAGACTCGGCTGTGCACACATGCGTAGGGACATTCTTTCTCATTAAAAGCAATTACACTGTCTTCAGGACAATGACGCTGGTCACTCTGAGCTAAGGGTAAATCAAATTCGCCATCAGAATCCAGCTCAGAGGTCTGGTGACGCCTGCTCTGGGGATCTTCAGCCTGGGGACCCTGCCTGAGGGAGATGCTGTGCTGAGCACCCCGGCTGCAGGGCTGGGAGACGGAGGTCCCCAACTCCTTCCCCACAGGGCCGGGGGGGGGGGCAGCGGGGGCACTCTGCCCAGGAGGCGCCGGGAGCGCAGTAACTAGGTGCCAACCGCAGCGGCCTTGGCAGCCCTTGCTGGGAAGTGGGTGTCGCCACAAAGCACCACGGTCCCGAGGAGGGCGCAGCAGACCCGGAGAAGCTGGGCTGAGGCGTCAGGTGGCCTCTGGGGTTGCCCTCGGTGCTGGTCTGGGGTCCTGGCTGCTGGGGCTCGGAGACTGGGCCCTGAGCTGTCAGCAGCCCTAAGGGAC